TATTTTGGTCCATATAATACGTTGATAGGACGTCGGACACCGACCGGTTCTGTACCACAGTTGCAACCTTGAATGAACGTCCAGATGACTTGAAATTACGTTTTTTGACATCTGCTTGCTTAGTGGGAAACGGACTGAAAACAACGATCATATAAACGTCAATATTGTGGTCCTATGAGCCTTGATCAGGACGTCAGACCCACCGTTCCGTAGGGGCGCACATTCAAACTTGAATTGACGATCCAACAACGAAACATTTGGAGGTTGAGGTGACGTCGGAAACGACGTCGAGAAAACGTTCATTCAGCACCCCACCAGTGACCTATATGCGACGTTCAAATTAACTTGATTCAAACGTCGGCTTGCTTAGTGGGAAGTCCATGGTTGAGGATGCACTGGCTTTGAGTCAACAAAGAAAGTGAAAGTGTGCCCCTTGTGCTGGTGTTTGCTGCTGGAGAAGCTTGCAGGAGTGGTGAAGGTTCAGCCCAGCCCACTAGTCTTGGCCAGAAGTCTGAGTAAGTAAGTAATCTTTATTTATAAACCCGTCTTTCACTGCACATCAGAGTCTCAAAGCGGTTTACAATTGTTAGTTTGGGCATTTGTCTCTCCGCATCCACTCAGAGATGGGAGCGGGTCGCCAGTAAGAAGGCGCATGCCATACCTATTTGTACATATTTTTAGTGGTAGGGGTACCGGAGTACCTGGAGGAAACCTACGCAGACACGGGAGAACATGCAAACTCCATTCCAGAAAGGCCCTGGTCCGACCGGTCGATACGCACCCAGGACCTTCTTTGCATGATAGCGAGAGTGCTATCGCACTCAGACCACCGTGGCGCCCCAGGGCCTTTGAAGGTTATCTAAAAGAGCACCTTCATTAAACCTCAAATACCCTGTCCAAAAACATCCCAGAGTATGTCACTACACTTTGGGTATGCGTTTATAACTAGCGTTGCTCCCCAGCTGGTCTTCGGCTTCTCCAGACCGAAATGAAGCAGCATTTGGACAAGAAGGCGTATGGTCAACGAGCTTCGGTATAAGCCTGGTGACACGGGCTCCCAACTTCTCTTATACCAATACCATGCTCATCAATGACCACTACCATTTCTCTGTCCTTATGTTGTAAAATACAAGAAGCTGAGTGAACACCAACTACGTCTTTCACCACACCTTGGGGGATCCGAAGGCCGCCTCAGGTCCTCGATGTGAATATGCTGGAAGCTCCTACAGCATACGGAGTGACCAGCAAAACATCCGGCCATCCCTTGCGTGATGAGAAGGCATCTCCCTGTTGTTGCTTACACCACGAAGGTTGAGTTCTACTGAACCTGGAAGATGGCTGAAAAGTGGGAGTCCCTCAATGAAATCTGTAAAACGAACACCATGGATTGGGCACACCCTCTCTAATACACTAGACCACAAGGAGACAATGAATTGTTTCAAAGTATCCCTGGACGAGGCCCCCGACCCCCAATTTTGTTATACCAGGATAGATGAAACAATAATTGAAACAGAGGACAGCTACACAGAGACAATGTGGCATAAAAAACTATAGTTGGATGGTCTGTTGCTACTAACCCTCAGGACGAAGACTGTGTTCCAGGGAGGGAAAAACGTAAGAATTCAGATCCAGACCTGCAGAGTGGGACAACCAAGATACTCGGCTCAGCGGGTTCTCTTTCACACCCGCGTGAGGGGAAAAAGGTGTGAATTTCCTGCATGAGCTGACCCCCATCCTCCCCGCAGCTGCAGCTCCCCGCACGTAAATTTTGGAACATGCACAGTAGCGGAAAACAAACAACAATGGCGGCGGGACACAAACTAGCTTGTGGGCTTCGAGCTCGGCAGAGAGGATAATTCTACTCCTTCGGTCATCCAAACGAGACCTCTGCAAAGTTTGTCCGAGCTTCATTCCATTTTCATCAACTGCTGTTAATATTACAGAAATGATGTTGGCGCTCGGCGAGGCTGGCACAGAAGTGGGTATACTGGCCAGGAGGGGGGTTGTTTCTTTCTTACCACTACTGGCCGGCAGTGGTGAGCGCTAGAACTACATAGTTTTTTCAACCTTGTATGAACGCTGGAAAATTTGCATTAGGAGCCCTGGTCAGTTGCGTTGCTGCTAATAGCCTGGAAATGTTTGCGCAGCGTCTCAGTATACACTCAGCCGGCCGGAGTCACTCACAGTGGGTTTTGGCAATTTCCTTTTTATAAAACTAAACGAAAAAAAAGGAATAACAATGGTGGGAGTGGCGTCGCCCAGTTGTGCCAAAATAACAAACTCAACAAAACTAGTCAACAAAAGAAGGAAACAAAAAATGCCAAGTCTATTTATACCTAAATAAGAGTAGGCGGTGTAAAACAACAAGGATGGCAACAACTGCTAAACTAATGCATCTAACAAAAACAGCTGAGTAGAGAGAGTGGAGAGAAAATGAGCCAATACTAACATATTCCCATTGGCAGACCTCCTCAAAAACGCTTTACTGGCTGAACAAAAGTTTGGCTCTTGGCCAAAGCGCCGTTCCAATTTGTGTCAATGCTGAGGGGGTGAATTTTTTGGTCCACCTAGTTTTACCTTGCTGTGAATTTTTGAAGTCTCCAGCGCAGATGTGTTTTTTTTCCATAGACTGTATAGATTAACGACAGAGTCACGCCTATCTCCGCGTTCTAAATAATGTCCAAAAAAAATGTGCTCTACCTGGAACAATCCAAATTGGCCGCGAGTGTCCCGCCCACAAGAAAAATTGTGGAAAAACGCATCTGGCATGCGCCAGCCGGCGCTGCCCCATTCCATTTGAACGAGAGACTTCAAAAATCACAGCCAGTAAAACTAGAGTGGACCAAAAAAATTCCCCCCCCCCCCGCCTTTATAGTTTAAAATGTTACAATGTATTTGAAATATATGTTAATATAGAAACAGGTAATTATATATATAAATAAAGAGGTATATATATATATATATGCAAACATGTGTATGGCAATTAACACAGACTAATGTGCATCTAATCAAAAGCCAAACGTTATTTTCTAATTCAGATAAATAACAAATCCCAGAGGATGTTGAGGTAAGAGGGTACAGTTTTTAACAGGGCAAAATCTAGTGCAAACTTTAAACGCACTTCCGCAAAAGTGCAAGTACAAAAACTTAAAACAATTACAAACTTTTGCGCTTCACCTGGTGTCTTAGCTCCGAAATTCGACTATTGAATGGACTTTCTCACATCAGCGTCTATGGCCGTACCGGAAACTGTTTTAACAACAGCATCAGTGGGAACAGAACAACGATTCCACCCAATTCATCCGCTTAAGCATCCCGTCCCCGACTCGCCAACCTCTTCCTCTCCCCATAGCCCCCGCTCATCCTCCCTCCTGCATAATGCAATCAAAACTGGAAGACAACCCAAAAACTCTAAGAATAAGTTACCTTGCAGAGCTTGAATAGTTCCTCGGGTCGAGAGCCTGCCGACGCTCGGCATTAGGATCCAATTTGCTGACGCCCCCTTTCAGGTTGACCCTTGAGGAGGACTTCAAATCAAAGAGCCCATCATTACACCCGAGCCAGACCATTGGCGTCCATCTACTGCACACGCACGCTCATGTACGCTTATTTTATCTTTACAGTAATTAATTTAACCGTTTAATTCAAACTCAAGCTGTTTTAGTGAGATTTTAGTGCATTTTTCTGTCTGGAAACGCTGGTCTTAACTGGGCCCAAATATACATAGGGAAGGAACTAAACCATGGATCACTAAAACGTGTGCAGTTTGAAATATGGGTTCCGCAGCTTTAAAGGAGAGAATAAGAAAGGCAATTATTACATCTAGCAAACTCTGTGAAGTAAGTGCGACCTTGCAACTTTTTCTAAACTCTGCAACTTTCCTGCAACTTTACAGAATCAAATTGTATCAGCAAAGGACCGGGCAAAGCAGTATAAAACTATATACTTTCTTCTGTTGATTGAAAATTTGTACTTTTGCTTTGCGTTAATAACCCCTTCATAGTAGTTCCTTCAGTGTATAAGCTAAAAGTAGCACTTGTTGACAAAATTGTATCTTGCTTTAGGTCTATAAAACATGGTAAATGATCTTTTTTACTGTGTTTGTGCAACTATATTTGATCCAAAAAATTTTACTTTATTATTTGTAAAGTATGTTTTAAAAGAGAAAATTATCTTTACTTGCCAATGCAACTTTAAGAAAAATGCCCTGCGAAATCAAGCATTTTAGCCCGCAGCAATCACAATAATCGCCCGTTTAATCTTAGAGGGACTGCCATTTGTTGAGATTGTTTTCAATGAACATGTGGGTTTGTTTAGGTTTAGGCGCGTGCAAAACCGTGGGCCGTATTTGGAAAGGTTTCTTAACATGTAGAAAAGCTCGCAAGTTAATTTTGGCTGAAAAACAAAAGCAGTTTAACCAAGAAAGTTGGGTAAAAACTGAAAATGATGATTTCTCATGCCTCTTTCAATGTGGGCTACAATTACTAACTTGCAATGTAAAAATAAGGCTGTAAGTTTTTGGCCAAAATCGCGATGAAAATCAGACCAACATTGAAATTGCGATGTGATTTTCAATATCCTGTTTAAAAAGTAATTAGAATACAAATTGCAACTTTAAGAGGTTTGACAAAAAAAATGGCTCATACTAAATTAGGAAACAATAGTATAAAAAAAGGCTTTTGCCCAAAAACAAGATGAAAGATACTTATTCTATTCAAAATAAGTTCAACAGAAACGTTCCCAAATTTCAATAATTTAACATTTTCAGTCCCTTGTTGTCAGAAAATAAATCTACGATAAGCTATTTGCGACAAAAGGACATTAAATCTTGATTGTGATTAATCGCGCAGCCCTAATTACATCTCAAAATGACACGCATCTCCATTAGAATCCGTCTCTGTTCTAATAACTGAAAGCAAAAAAAACTGAAAGCGCCATTCCTTCCAAAAGCCATAAAAGCAACTTTGATCATTTGCATTCAAACCCTGCAGCGCGTGTTGATGATCAGTATTCATGTGCACCTGGGCGCGCACTCCATCCCATATTTACCCTGCCTTATCCAGCGCACACAATCCTCACCCAAACGGGACCGAGCACGTGTGGCGCCTTTGGATCGGAGACAGCTGCCCGTCCTGAAGGCCGCTGATAAAACTCTTGACACCACTCCCATCACAAAGAGACGCAGAGACGCTCCACAGAGAGGCCCCAATGCTCCTTTCACAGGCTTAACATGTGCGCGCGGGGCCGCCATCGCATCTACCGCCAACGCCGCCATTGCCGCCACTTTCGCAGGTACACAGATAAATTGCGTAAGCGGCAAAACCATCTGCTCGAGCGGGTGTCAGATAAAATGAGGGTAAACAGCTGAAAATGCACAGGAATAAATGAGAGGGGGCGGCCCAGGTGGGGTTGCTATTTAGGGAAACAAAATCAGAGACTCGGAACGGTAACCAACCAACTTCTAAAGAAAAGATAAGATGCAATTAGATAAACGTGTATTCAATCAATCAATCACTTTATTTATCCCCAGGGGGCAATTAAAAAGCACGGAGAGTTGCAAGTTACATGCTAAAAAGCTCAATAAATATCACATAAATACATACACACACACATCCTGGTTAAGTTAATGTTTGGAGCGTTTTAACACTGCGCTGGGGTAATGACGGGTCTGAGTTCAGCAGCTGAATCACTGTTGGAACAAAAGTGGATTTCCTCCTCTGCGACATCCTGAAGGCAGCCACTCAAACACAGGGAAGAGAACATGAGCAGGGTCTCCCAGAATCCTCTAGGCTGATTACACAGGGCAGGAAGGGATCTGATTGGCTGGCCAGTGATCTTAGAGCAGACATTTGTTACTCTGTTTAACTGAGCCCAGTTTTGTACAGTGACAGAGTAAAACCAGCAAACACATGAAAAAGAAAGAACACTCTCAATAAAGGCATGGTAAAAGCTCATCATGATGACATCAAACGCCTTTAATTTCCTTAAAGATATTGCCTCTGATGCTATTTTTTGGGAGCTTCTCAGTGTTGCTCCCACAGTGGGGAAATGTCATTACAGCAGAATTAAAGTAGAACATAACCCACTAAGCAAGCCGACGTTGAATCAACGTAATTTGAACGTCGTTGTCCGACGTAGAATATAGGTCACTGGTGGGTGCAGAATGAAAGCTTTCTCGACGTTGTTTCCCGACGTCACCTCAACCTCCAAATGTTACGTTGATGGCACGTCAATTCAAGGTTTGAATGTGGTACGGAACCGGTCGGGTCTGACGTCCTATCAACGTCTCATATGACCAAAATATTGACGTTTATATGACGTTCGTTTTCAGTCGTTCCCACTAAGCAAGCAGATGTCAAAACTATGTCATTTCAACGTCATCTGGACGTTCATTCAAGGTTGTAATGTGGTACAGAACCGGTCGGGTCCGACGTCCTATCAACGTCTTATATGACCAAAATATTGCCTTCATATGACGTTCGTTTTCCGTTGTTCCCACTAAGCAAGCAGATGTCAAAACTATGTCATTTCAACGTCATCTGGACGTTATCTGGACGTTCATTCAAGGTTGCAATGTGGTACAGAACCGGTCGGGTCCGACGTCCTCTCGACGTCTTATATGACCAAAATATTGATAAATAATTTATATGACGTCCATTTACAGTCCTATTGACCTACTTAACCTCTGCAGAATCACTCACTGGTCGAGACATACTTTTTGCAATAGGCAAGGCAAGTTTATTTGTATAGCACAGTCAAAACAAAAGGAAACTCAAAGCACTGAACAAAAGATAGAAACAATCAAACAAGGCATTACAATTATAAATATTGACTGTAAATTAAAAAGAAACAAATAAAATCTCTCAGTTGAAGCAGAAACAAGTGTTTTAAACCTGGATTTTAACATTGTCAAAGAAGAAGCCTGTCTCACATTTCCAGGAAGACCGTTCCAGATTTTAGCCTTGTGAATCTGAAATGCAGCTTTATCATGTTTAGTTCTGACTCTGGGCGATAAACACAGCATTCAAAAATCATTAGAACAACTGTAGTAGAAGGATATCAGTCATTATTGCAAATGGAACAGTTCATGCCAAAGTAAAAAAACATGATTGTAGCGCCTATGTTTGGATCAGTATTAAAACAGGCACAAGCTACACTCTAGGTTCCCCAGATGTAAAAACACAATCTGAAAGGCAGAAGAATGCATTTATTGAATGTTGAGGTTCCAACATGTGTCCTCTCTTGGTCTTCAGTCTCTCATCACAAGGTCCAAGCACAGCACCTGAAAATGTGGAACATGTTTAGTTTCAACATAATGTGGCAAAGTGATATAACAGCACATAACTTTCTATTAATGCCTCAAACCACTCGATCCATCACCATGTGATACAAACCTTGGCACTGCACTAGCTCGAGACACTGGAAGACACTCAGTCTGAGAAACTTGGGATAAGGCTTTGGTCATTGGAGTAATTCCATGTAAAAACAATTGCAAATGTGCATTTGTTTTGCACATGGACACAAATGAGCCCTGAAAGCTACTTACCCTGTATTACTCTACACATGTTGCATTTCCGAGGGGGCATTTTCCCCTTGTTGCTCTTTTCCCTCATCTTGAGTGAGTTGCTGAACAATCTGAGAAAAAGACATATTAAAAAAACAACATATTAATACAGAACAACAATCAATGTGTGAGAGTGTGATTCTTACCTTTGAACACCTTCAACACAGTCTGACACCTGTAAGACTCAAACACACATGACACATTAGGAATACACACAGAACATTAGTTATTGCAACAATCATGAAATTATACTCTATGGATTTCACAATAATGGACTGCATTAGCAAAGGTAAATGTATTTTAATTAACATATGGCTGGTTTTAAAGTTTATAAGAAAAAGTAAGAAATTGAATAGAGTTGCAAGCGCTAGTTAGCTTGCTACCAGCAGATGAATGGATATTTAATATTTGCAGCTAACAATAACAAAAATAACAACTGTAGTGGCTCATTTAAACAGCCACAGTGAGAAGAAGTGCAAGTCTCTGACATTGAAGACCTGGGAAGACATTAAATCAATTTATTAAACAAAGCAATACATGAACATTAAACTCTCTTTCTGCAGCAGGTAACATCTGTGTGCTCCTATGGTCCCACATGGTCCCACATGGTCCCACACCTGAACTCAACTCCAACTGATGACATCACAGGTGTCTAAATGATGGGAGTGTCCCAAATATTAAAGCTGATCTCCCTGTTTTTAAACTTAGTTTACTAAGTACTGTTGTGTTTTTGCAGTTTATAAACCATTGTGAAATATACAGTAACTTAACATTTTAGAATTGAATTATTATTTTAAAACTCAAGAATCTTAACCTTTTTTAACACATACTTTGTTGGACAGTCTAACCTAAGAATTCTAATGTGTTAAAAATAGTTTGAAATATGAAAAACAATATCATATTTTAAACTTTAACTTAAAAACTAAAACAAGGTGTCTCCCTTTCAGCTGAGCAGTGCCAGCCGTTATTATTATAGATTCATGCACTGGCAATTCAAAATACAGATAATATACAAAATATACTTAACAAAATCCACGTATACGTGAGAAAACAACTTACTTTCTGTCTCCAACTCTTTTCAAAGTGGAAATGATACATCTATATCTAAAAACTGTGCAGACTGTGTACTTACTAGAGAGGATGAATCCAAGTAAATAAAGCAGGGCAGCGACAGATTCAACGTCATATCAACGTCTGGGAAGGCATTGCTTTACGTCCAGATGCACACCTTACGTCGTTTAGACGTGGAAAACAGGTCCTCGACCGAGCGACTCACGTGTCAGGCTGTAAAGTTATAAGTTATACTCGCGCGGCGCATAAGTGTGCGTCGGTTGTTTAGGGTGTTATCTATTATTTTTTCACAGTAGTCAGGGAAAATGCCTGGCCGTGGTGTAGCGGTTGCGTAATGAGACTTCAGTCGCAACGACGCGGGTTCAAATCCCCGTCGGAAAACTTTTGACTTTTCACTTTTTAGCGAACAATTTTTCTGTTTGGTTAAAAACGAATAAACACTCAACATAAGATTATGTAGTGGCTAATAATAAAACTTGTGAACCCATGCATTTGCATAAAATCTCAAGTGCTCACCCCTTATTTGCAAACTTGAGATTGTTAGCACAACAAATGCATACATTCACAAGTTTTATTATTAGCCACTACGTAATCCTATGTTGAGTGTTTATCAGTCTTTATTCAAACAGGAAAAAATTGTTCGTTAAAAATCAAAACAAATATATAATGATAATAATACACACACGAGGGCTCGAACCCACGTAACCAAGGCTGCACACGTTTGCTTAACCACTACACTACCGTCAGGTACACTTGCACCGCTTCACAGCCTATATATTGTATTGCTAGATCAAGACGTACTGCGTCGGTCGGCCGATGACCTGTTTTCGACGTCTAGGGGAGGTTGGGATTGAACGTCATATCCACGTATTGAGAATGAGGGGTCACGTGATAATTTGGGCGGGGTCTAATCCGGTCGGCCATGTTGATAGGATCCTCCATCGGTTGCCAGGGGCAACGCCACTAACGCTAACGCTCCAGAGGTCTTTAAATTGAGCACGTTTATTAGTTCGGCAGTAGATACATCTACGATTACAACACTAGCAAGACAGTTAATGGAGAAAATGAAGGCGAAAGGAAATGGACCGTACAGGGAAAAGCTTCTACCCACGGCAAAACAACGTTATTTGGAGAAGCTCTGTTGTGGAATTTCATACCCCAATAAAGGAAAAAGCTGGAAAGGTATTTGTCTTAAATCAAAGATGTAAACACATTTATTTTACACATATATATGCGGAGAGCCGACATACAGTCTTGCATCGTGAGCTCTGCCGGGGCACAGCTACTGTACCAATACATATACTCAGGAGGCGCACAGCAGGGCCCCAAAACCGTGACGTCACATGGGCTGAGATTATCATGCAAACATCACCTTTTGTTTTAGCGCAAGACACAGGAAGGCCTTTGTCTTAGGTGTGAAAGGAGCAGACAGCAGAGGCCTTGGCAAACTCAGCATGGCGTCAGACGGCCGTCTCTGCATTGATTAAAGGCCCAGTCGTCCGTGTATTTGCTGCGACTGGTTCTAATTTAATTACTCTAAAAACTGTCATTACACTCCCCTCTTTTGATAATTCAAAACCATTTTTGCATTAATCAGTTAAATACCAGAGGCATCGTAATCACATCACCTTCAAGCTTGAAACACTTAAATTATTGCTGTCCAAAGTGGACAAGAAAAGAAACATGTTTGTCAATAAAAGAAAGAGCACATTATAATAA